GAGATCGACATCCTGAGGGCTATGAAACTTTCCCTTTCTCCAACTTTTAGATTTACGCCATTTTGATCAATCCAACTCATGACTGACCAGTACTTTTCAGCACATAACACTATACAGCATGTCGTACAATCTTGGCCAGGGATATCTGAGCAAAGGCTGCGCCTTCATGAGTGAGAACAAGTGGAACTAAGCGCTGGCATGAAACTTGACTTTATAAGCAATTTATTATAATAAATAATTTCGGTCTCCACGAGTGTGCGAACACTATTCATTAAAAAGCAAGATCGACAACGATATGGCATTTGATGGTGGTAAACTGTTCAGTGTACAGGCCGCACCGTTACAGTGCGCTTCAACAATGAGGTTTTCCCCTTAGAATAAAGACGATCGCGGAATGGACTATGATCAATCAGTGAAATGGAGATTCGTTTCGAAGTAAGGAACAGTAATCAAACTAAATTTTAAACTCAGAGGTGAGGAACAGAGGATATTACATGCTCTGGTCGCAGAGCATGTTCATACCGAGCTGATCGTATAGACTTCTTCTGATATAAACCATCAGATTCATTCATCTTACTGTAGGTTTGTGGGTTAAAATAGCTTCTGGTTTCCTCTTCCATTGTTGCTTTCGAACCACTTTGCTGAGTCGCTGCGTTCGTACCTTCTTCACTCAAGCGGAGAATGCATTCAGATCTTAAACCATATGTGTTCATGAATCTGCCCTAGCACTCAGATGCATTTCACAGGAAACAATCAGTAGAGAGGTATCAGTAACGTCTTCGTCTTCCCCCTCACGAGGTGGCATACCTACTGACCATTCATTCTGTTCAGTTTCAGAGCTGACTGTTCCACGATTAAGCCTAAATTTTATGCTTTAATTTGCTGACCACTTTGCCTACCGGCACTCGAGGTGAGGTTCAAGCATGACTCATGCTCCTTATGTATACAAAATTGGTCATTTTTTCAAGGTAATGTTTGAGATAATTTCGATAACACACGAACTGACAGAAAGCCTGCTTCAATTGCTGGACCATTTGAAACAAAACCCAAAGACCTTAGGTAATATGGTGCGAATTATTTAAAATATTGGAAGAAAGAAGAAAGTATAGACTAGAGAAAAGGAGACCGGCTCGTGTCGAAGTCGACAGTCGACTTTGTGTCGAAGAATGTGTAGAAATCTTATTCCCACAGCAACTAAATGCTAAAGAGAAAGAAGAAAAAGGAAAACTTTTAACCGGTGGGATGTCGGTATTCCACATACTTCCATTATGACATATATGCCATTCACTCTTCATTTAATGCAGCCTATAACGATCTTCCATTTGTTTGCCATCAACAAGGAGTTACTCCCTCTAAATGCAATGTTTACAGAAAAGTAGCAGAGTAGGGCCCTTTTGTTGTCTTTCTCACAGCGTGGCACTCGATTATCTACCGCCGAACGATGAAAGGTGAGTGAATCAGTCATGGTTCAAACGCAAGACCAATCAGTTTTCAGTTCGCGGCCCTTAAATGTCACGAAACTAATGTGCTGACAGCTTTGAAGAGTACTGATCATTAAGTATCATCCAAGGGTCGGTAACGAGCAGCTGTTGACAACCAGCACTCTGAGAAAACTACTAGACGAACTCGGACACCGGGACCTGGCATGGTTTGATAAAACGAACCCAAAATGAGAATAAAAGTATATTCAGAAGCCATTTCGCTTGGAAAGCGTGGACGATCGCAGACGCGTCGAAACACGTCGTTGAGGCGACCACTTGCGAAGAGGAGTATTGTCTTTGTCCAAGCAATGAATGTTGCCTAATATCAATGTGAAGTACCATTTTTTCCGGTTAAACATTATAAACCTGGGTTAGTCCACTGTTTATGTTCTGTTAATCTTCGATGACGATAACAGAGCAACACGAGTATTCTCATGTCGACCCTCTACAGACTGAGGAACAGCTGTCTGTCAGAGAGGCGTGTTTGAAAGAAAGTAGGCAAGAGGGACGCGGAAATCAGTGAAGACCAGACTGCCGTGGAAAATGCCACATGACAGAAAAGTGAAGCTTAAAACAGGGCAGCAAGTGTTCGAGTCTTGGAACAACACCACTTCAAAGCGACAACAGTAAACAAACGAAAACAGAACCACAACGGAAGACAGTACCTTTTGAATACCGCGGTCGCTGTCGCGCATTTTAACTTCGAACTGACGGATGAAGTCGCGTAACTCCTTTTCCTTCGCCTCCAGCGTCTGGTAGACGTCTTTCATTTGGGACAGCAGCTCGAGCTTCTCGCTCTTCAGGCGTTTTCGATCAAGCTTCAGCGCTGAAAAAGCATTCATTATCACCCAGTCACCGCCAGGCGGCGGCCGTTGACAGCATCGACCGACCAACAGCTGCCACGACTACCGGGCGTTCATTACCACCGTCAGTTACAAACTGAGGCAATAACTCAGGAAGAGAGACAGACAGAAGAGGAAGCGACAAAACCGCTCGTCACTCACATGCGAGCATCTTTTTCGTCTCGGCCAACTCCAACTGTAGTTCATGCATTTTGGTGGTCATCGTTGCGGTGGACGGCTGCTCAGCCACACCGTTGAAGTTGCTGTCCACTTGAAGGCCTCCGTCGACACCATTTGTTGCGTTCGCCGTCGTAGACTGGCCGTTGTTGTTGTCCTGCTGCTGCAGTGTCCTCAGGCGCCGGTGCAACTGCGCGTTCTCACTCCTCAGGCGGTGAATGGTCGCCTCCATTTGATGTTCTGAAATCGGACCGCGTTGTAAAT